CATATGGCGAAAAAGACAGCCCTTCCTATTGACTCCATGGCTTATCTGAGAGAGCCTATGGAGAAAAGGCTAGATGCCAGCCTGATAAAGTCATACCTGGAGTTCGGATCTGCGCTACATCCAGCAGTAGCATTAACAAAGCTGTCAAGAGCCTTCAAAGAATGGCTAGACAATTTAGAGGAAGATATCGCCAAAGGAGTTCGGAGAGATCATCTTCTGGAAGGACTGAGAGATCTGAAGTTGGCGACAGAGTTTTGCTCTGAAGCATCTCTGGATGTTACCAGAATGGTGGCAAAAGGCATGGGTCTTTCTATAGCAGCAAGAAGAGCATTATGGCTGCACTCCTGGGGAGCAGACTATGCTTCTAAAGCGTCCCTGTGTGCTCTTCCATTTCAAGGAGATCTCCTATTTGGAAAGGTCTTGGATGAAGCTATCCATAAGGCAGCAGATGGGAAAAAAGCCTTTCTTCCGCAAGTCAGAAAACATGGTTCTACAGCATGGAAAGATAGGCGGTACAAAGACCATGCCTTTCGTGAAAGCAGGGCATATAAACCTGGGAAAGAGTATTCCATATCCAATTGGAAAAACACTCAGACAAAATCTTCCAGAGGAAGAGGAGCAAGGCCAGGGAAAAACTTCTGAACTTGTGCCGACCCAGCCAGGAATTACAGGAGGAAGACTGCACCTCTTTTAGGTGATAGAATACGCTCCAATAAAAGAACAAAGAAAGGGTCACTATTCTACGGTTTTTCTAGCCCGAAACCCCCAAAAGAAGTGGAGACTTATCCTGGACTTGAAGAAGTAGAAATCAAAAATAAAAAGCAAAACATTCAAAATGGAATCCATTTCGACTATTGTACCAAACATCAGTATGGGGATTGGATGACATCAATCGATTTGAAAGATGCATATCACCAGATCCCAATCAACATATGGCACCGCAAATTCAAGGGATTTCCATTTGGGCTAAGCCTGGCTCCAAAAACATTCTCAAAGGTACTCATCGCATTAGTGGCAGTAATCAGAAAGAAAGGGATAGAGATATACCATTACTTGGATTTTCTGATTATAGGTCAATCCAGCCAGAAGGTAGCGCTCCACACTCAGTTGGCCGTAGAAATCCTCGTGAACCATGGTTGGAAACTGAACTTGGAAAAGAATATGATGATTCCCTCTCAGAATTTCATATTCCTGGGGGCTGCCGTAAACACGGTAATCGGTCGAGTGAATTTGTCTGCAGAAAGAATGGAAAAGATTCTGATGAAGATCAGGAATCTTCACTACAAGAGATGCATTACAGCAAGGGAATTCATGAGCCTTATAGGATCTCTTACATCGACTATAGGATTGGTGAAATGGGCCCAGTGGAAGATCCAAATGAAGTTTCTAAAGGAATTTAAGAAACAAGAGGGCGACTGGGATCAAAAAATTCCTATTTCTCAAAAGACAATAGACGACCTGAGTTGGTGTGAGAAAACCAAGAACTTATCCTTGGGGTTTCCTCTGGAGGATCCACCATGGAAAACAGTTACTACAGATGCAAGTCTCCAAGGATGGGGTGCGCATTTAGAAAAGAAATGGAAACAAGGTACATGGGTACAGAGAGAGCGCAAGTTGCACTCGAACCTAAGAGAACTAAGAGCAATATTCTATGCCATGCAGGGATTTTGACAAGATGTAATGAATTCTTGGGTGAGAATCCAGACAGACAACAGAGCAGTGGCCTCATATGTAAACCGACAAGGTGGAAGCAGAAGCAAGGCTCTATTGCGAGAAATATTTCCATGGATGGAATATTCAATCCCTTGAATTTGCTCAAAACAGTCTGCAGGGCCTGAAAGCAGTGTATCTTCCAGGGAAAGAAAATGTTCTGGCAGACTATCTGAGCAGAACGAAGATTCAATCAGGAGAATGCCAATTAAACCCAGAGATATTTCATCGGATATCGTTAAGGTGGGGCACACCCCAGATCGATTTGATGGCTTCATATCGGAATGCTCAAGTCCCAAAGTATTTTTCCCTAAAGGCAGAATATCAATCAGCAGGTCAAGATGTCTTTTTTGCCTTCCTTGGGACTTTGATCTGGGGTATGCATTCCCTCCCCTGCCGATGATTCACAGATTGTTGAGGAAAATTCGGAAGGAATGGAAGACGGTGATTGCTATACTTCCAAGTTGGCCGAGAAGGCCGTGGTTCCCACTCCTGAACAAAATGTGCTTAGGTCCTCCATGGCCTCTTCCTCAAAGAGCAGACCTGTTAATACAAGGTCCAGCGATGCATCCCAATCCAAACCTATGGAAACTGGCGGCTTGGCTCTTGAAAAGCAGAGACTTTTAGAGCAGGGATTACCAGAGCCTGTGGTGAATACACTGTTAAAATCCAGGAAAAGTTCCACCTCCGCGTGTTATCACAGAATATGGGATTTCTTTCGATTATGGACAGAAAAGAAATCCAAGAATTTCCTACAGCCTTCAAATATAGACATTTTGGAATTTCTACACGAAGGACTGGAGAAAGGCCTAAGCTTAAGCACTTTAAAAGTGCAGTCATCAGCCTTGTCTGCTCTGTGTAACACTTCCTGGACATCAGACCCTATCATTGCGAGGTTCTTTAAGGCAGCTATACGCATAAGACCTCCTTCTAGAAATTATGCTCCTCCTAGGGATCTTCCCTTGGTTCTGGATGTTTTGTCAGATTCTCCCTTTGCTCCGTTGGATGAGTTGGGTATTGTTAATCTGACGTACAAAACCTTGTTCTTGGTGGCAATCACTACGGCTAAAAGAATGTCTGAAATTCAAGCCTTCTCCAGTAATCCGAATCACGTTCAGGGTTTTCATGATAGAATTATCTTAAGACCTAGAATGGAATTCCTACCTAAGGTGGTTTCTCGTTTCCACTTGGCACATGAAGTGATTCTACCTTCTTTTTACCAAAACCCTTCTTCTTCGGAAGAAGTTAAACTCCATCAGTTGGATGTGAGGGAATGTGTAAAGAAATATATAGAGGTCTCTAACCTATTTAGAAAATCGCAGCACTTATTTCTTATCCCTTCGGGATACAGAAAGGAAGAGGCGGCCGCTACCGCTACTTTGAGGCATTGGGTTTCGAACACCATAAAAATGCCATATAAACTCAAGAACTTATCTCCTCCGGAAAAGATAAAGACCCATTTTTATATATAATGACTACTCTTTCATTCTTGATCTGTGAAACAAATGGTGGGAAAGGACTTTGATCAGAATGTTATATTATGTATATATTTTGCAGCACATTGATTGGTCCTTTTTTAACCTTTTTCCTTTGTTCTTCTGATTTAGTTCATGAGTCAAGAGTCCTAAAAAAAAATTCTACTTTCAAGAAAAATGGTTCAGCCACGTCTGAATTTTCGTGCTGTTACAGTACACCCAGGTATAAAAGGGCTTAATACCGCTGAGGACGTTCACCTTACAAATGGAGAGAGAGCTAATGAAAGCTCCAATCAGCCGAACAGGAACCATGCGAAATCCTTCACGTATCAAACAGCCGAACAAGTAAACCATACAAATCCAATACCCCGAAGTATGAGACCAAGCTCCGTATTGAGGGTTAAGCAGAGATCTGATTTAATGTGGGGTACCTGCCCGGTATTTATGCAGTATTTCACCAGGTGGACACTCCCCTAGGGGACCTGGTGGAAAACTGGGATAATAAGAATACAGTAGCCAATCACAGTGGCTCAGACATAAACACTCCCCTTTAGCTGAAATGACCCTCTTCCCTATCCTGGAGATAATTGGGGAATTAATCCAATTATCTCCCAGGATAGAGGCAAATTGCCATTTTACATGTAACAGTAAAAACACACAAAAATGTATAACAGGTAAAATACCGAATGCACTAGGTACAATTAACATATCCCCAGATAGCTTAGATCTGAGCACACATTATTACCGAATGGCAATCAGATCATATACATACAGTTCAATCGCCATGGAGCCAAAGTCTTTCACATAGTCTTTCGGTATACAAATGAGCTCCATGGCATAGCTATCTGGGTTAAGTCCAGTCGTGCAGAAAAAGTACAGAACTGGCCGGCGTTCGTATGCCGGATGACGGGGAAGGGAGGTCGGCGGCTTCAGCGGTGTTCGTGAGAAATAGTGTCAGTTTTTAGTTCCAGAGAATCGTTGACGAACACCGCTGGGCATTCGTGCGTCCAAGATGGCCGCCGCCTCGTGGTCAGCATACGAACGACGACCACCCAGCCTAACTTGGACAATTAAGAGGTGTCTGCGGTTAACCACAACGTTAGAATGGGGCCAAGAGGTTAACCAGCAGCACTATTCCATGCTGGGTGGCCGGCCGTTCGGCAGTTTATTCGGGAGTTAAGGAAATAAACGAACGGGGGGTACAAACAGGCAATTAACAGAACAAACAGACAAACCAAGGGGAATAGAAGTAGTTCACAGACAGATGGTTCTGTCACACTCACCATGCACAGGTATATCTTGAATTTTATATCAAACTATAAGCCACCTTCTAGTTAATTTTGTTTTTACTTGTACTATTCAGACAGTTTTATTGTCTATTTGTAGGTTTGTGGGGTTTTTTTTGTTTTGTTTTTAAATGTGGATGTTTACTGCTTCCTGACTTAAGCTATGAATATACTCCTCCACAGCATAAATAAATAATTTTTAAAAATATCACAGCTCTTTGTTTATTCTACCTGATACACAGTTAAATAATATTCAATTTTATCATTATTAGTAGAATTTTATGTATGTGTCCAACCTATTCCTTAGTACTGTATAATCATTTAGAAGAAAAATATATGGTCTAGATAATAGCTTGCCCAAAGCTACAGAATTATAAAGAATTCAGAACTGAAATGTAACCTCTAAGAAAGGCAGAATGTTTACTCAAAAAGGGTCAAAACAGTAGAGGGTTAGTGTTATGTCCCTTGCAAATACTGACATTTGGTGTGTGTGCTTTCTTCAAAAATGAAATGTACACCAAATGTCAATGTTTGAAAGGCTCACACTCTGCCATTTTGACTTTTTGGGAAACCATTGTGAGTTATTTAACCAAAACCATTAAATACAACTCCCACAATGCAATGCCAGCTGGGCATCTACCATTTGCCCATCTTCACAGGGTTGTATATATGAGCAGTGTTTGTGCATTTGAATGTAATCATGGTTTTGTATGCAGTTTTTGTGTGTGTGCATTTAGTGGTGTATTTGCATTTTAATACAGGTGTGTGTTTGTATGTAATGCTTTCATTTGATTGCAAGGAAGTGTTTGCATGTAGTGATTGCTGGGATTATGCATATATACACATACACTGCCACATACATACATACTCAGATACATACATATACACACTGACATATGCACAAACACTGATACACAGATACACACTGACATATATACACAAAAACTGGCACACAGATAGATACACACACTGGCGCACATATAGGCCCATATACACATTGACACATGCACAGCCACTTATACACACACTGACACATACACACATACACTGGCACACAGATAGATACACACACTGGCGCACATTTACACACTGACACATGCACATACACTGACACACAGATACACACTGACACTGGTACACAGATAGTGTTACGCTACTTGGGGTGATTTGGATTGGAACTCAACTGCAGCTTGTAAACTCCCTAATTACAATAGTGAAGAAACAGAGAATCCTTAAAGTATCGGTACTGTAGCTTTAAGAATAGAGAGACTCACTGGTAACTTGATTCAACCGAGGTTTTAATAAGTGTTAAACTTAAATGAATTGCATTTAGGCAATAATCCAATAAGAGAAGTGCAAGTAATCAACAACACAAAGCTCATCATTAAGTATTTCTTCAGAGATACATAAAGTAACATTCTTTAAGTTCATGAGAATAATCTTCAATAGAAACAATAAGCAAGTAGCTAAGAATATTTGCAGAGCAAGAACAGTTCATAGTGAATAAGCATGATGGGAGTTGTCCTCCATATAATTAGTAGCTTGAAGCATTGAGTGTCGTTGCAAAGCAGGAAACGTATCCGTTCTCCAGTAATCCTTTATGGCATGCAGCAATCCTTGCATTGGCTCAAAGGCTGGAACGGCTTGTCTGAGCTTGTGGAGAGGTAAGTCCGGTGGAAGTAGCTCCCAGTAGCTGAGCCTGTGGAGCCCGCGGAGGCAGCTCACACATTAGCTCACACACAATCACCAAGCACCCTCGCTCTGGCTCAGTCTCCCTAAATACCGTCAGAGCTGTGTCAGAGGGGGGCGGGGTCCGGCTCCTCACAGCTGAGTGCCGAACCCGGAAGTGTTACTCCATGACAGATAGATACACACACTGGCGCACAGATACACACATATTCATATGCACACTTACTAAAATACACACACTGACACATCCATTCACACACATATGGCATATTTATTTGTTATATTTAGCCACGTTTCTGTTAACAAACCTTTTGTGTACAGAAGGGTGGTCTCCCTGGGTCCTGCTGCTGGCTGAGGCTAATAGGAGTGTGTGGTTAGAGCCAGCTCTCTCCTTATCTCCCACGACTGCCTCTGCTACCTCCTCATTCTCTCTCCCTCACATGCTGGGCTGTATGAAACTGGGAGGAAGAGAGAGGATCTCACTTCCTCCCAGCATTGCCAATATTACAGAGCCCCATGTCGCTCTATTAAAGGTCCGTAGAGCCCAACTGGGCCCCTATTTAGCAATACCCTTCGGCTCGCCCTAGGTGCACGAGCCACCCAATGGGCCCTCCCAGTACGCATACCGTAGTATAGTCGCACTGGCGGTAGTTCTGCTGCTATTATCATAGCTAACTGTATTAATCCGGCTAGAGGCATTTAAGTCTTGCTAAGTAAACACTTAGCCGTTTCTGCAGAACAGCAATGTTTTCACTTGCAGGGTTAAAACAAGGGGAAAGTGGCACCTAAACCACTTCATTGAAATTAAGAAGTCTGGGTGTCTTTGGTGTACCTTAAATCTTTTTTAAAAAAGGCCCCACTGTTTCTCGATCCAGCTATGTACCTGTAGTGAGCTTGTTTTTGTGTATGTACATTATTTTGTGTCTTGTGTTCTTTCAGTCATTAGTTTGCTTTGCATTGATAATTAATGTTTTACTAGTTAATGTTTTCTTAGTTATGGGTTGTTTCAATGTCCAGAACATAAAGATTTGACTTTGAAAATGTAAATAATTTTGTGTTTAAATTATCCAGCACTTTTAGTCTTGTGGAGATTTATCTTTTTTATTTTTTTGAAGGTTAGATAAAGAGCTGCCGATCCGAGGTGGTCAGAATTTTATGGACATGCTACTAACAGAAGCCTCAACCTTTCATGTGTTGATATCAAGTTCTAGAATTTTAAAAGATAGGAATCAGATAATAGTTAGTAGCAAATATTAAAAACAATATTAAAAACAACAGTATATAAAAAACATTATTATAAAACACTAAATTGAATTACCCAAACATTTTTTTATTTTTTTCCCCACATTCCTGTAGGCACAATATTCCACTTTCTTGTGTCCTGATGGTGGAATCTGTGTCTTAGTTGGTAGTTTCTGAAGAGAACTGGCCTTTTTTTAGTATTTTTAAGAATTTTTTAATATCATGATAATTTTTCCTCTATTTTGAAAAGAATTTGCTAACAACTAAATTAAATGTAGAAAAACGTAGCTCTGTATTTGCCTTCTTCCAGAAACTGTGCCTCCACCTTGGTTCCCTGTCAGTCACTGCTAGAAGCTCTGTCCTTTTCCCCCATTGAACATTGTACATGAAGACAATGAAATATTGGGGGTTCTATATTGGGGGATACTCCACCACCACAGTTCAATTGCATCGTGAGCTGCAAGTATACTTCAGCCCTGGGAGTTTCGACCAAGGGTTGTGTACACTATTCATCTACTTGTGAGATGAGTGGTTGGTGTTGGGCTTTGTTCCCTGGTCTTAGAATGGTACTGCTTTGCATTACTTTTTGATATTTGCACATTGTTTTATATTTATTTGTATAACTACTGCGTATTGTGCAGAATAAATGCTGATATTTTTAATATCCCGTTTTTACACGTGTTTGTAGTGTCTAGCGCCCTCATTAGGTAGGTTTATACCCATCTTTTTCTTTTTTATTTGGTTTTATAGGCAATTTGGAGTGTGCCTATTTGAGTGGCAGCTTTTCACCTAGAGTGTGTGTCTATAGTACCTATTATCTGGATCTATCTCCATTTGTATTGTACTATATAGAAACAATGCAATGTGACTGTTGTCTCATTGGTTTCCACAGTGGATGTCCCAATTTAAGTAATTTAGACAACTATTCAGAAGGCAAAAACTTTCATACGTAACTCAAATTGTTTTGTTTCCATCCCTCCAATGCGTTGTGTGCCTTGGTTGTGTCAAGACTGAACTGGATTAGGATGTTAAATACTAAAACCATAATTCACATGAAAAAAGTGCATCCTATGAAAAAATGTTTGTAGTTACAACCAACTGTGAAGTCATGCCAGGAGGTAGTTAAAGCATTACATCATCAGATCCCATCACCATGATATCATCAAATCTAGACAGCCAGAATTTTGGGTGTCATGGTTTCATCGGCACTGAATATGGCTAGAGATCTACTATGCAAATGGTGAACTGAACTGAAGGAGTTTCTCTAGGGTTAGATTACAGCCAGCAAGGTGTTACCTAATCTTGACCTTAAGTTACTCTGACCTTTACTGTCTGAGGGATCACAGGATCTTCCAAATAAATGCTAATGTTTAGAGCAGACATTTCTTCTCACAACAGGAGCCACTTCTGAAAGATCCATAAAACAACATTAGCCAAGTGCTAAAACCACCCACGTGGAAAGATCTGGGCTGTAATTAACTCTTTATTAAGGATGCTAATAAGGGTAATAATGAGCTAATTTGAAAACATTCATAGTCTCAGTAGGAATTTGACAAATCAATAAGAAACAAATGAAATCCAGTGACAGTAGTGGAACGTTAAACAGAAAAGGAAATTGACCTGTTGGTCTGACTCTGTAATACCTGTAATTCCTTAAAGCAATACATGGAGTGTAAGCTCTGCTGTAAAATCCGACACTTACATTTTCTCAAACCTCCCAAAATTTCACATGGATCTGAAGGATTAACAAAGCAAAATGCAATTTGAATGGCATTAAGAATCACTTAGTTTCAGGATTTATCGGCAAACCAGGAATGTGTAACGGAAAAATGTACATTTTAACCCCTTAAGGACCAAACTTCTGGAATAAAAGGGAATCATGACATGTCAAACGTCATTTTTCCTTAAGGGGTTAAACAGTTAAACTAGAAAAAAACTGTCCAACTTTGATATTTTTCAAACTAAACTATTTTTCTAAAATTTACTTATTTCAATTCGTTGTTATCTCCAGATTAATTGAATCTCCAGGTCTAAAAAATACTAATTAGTCATATCTTGTGTAAAGTCTGGCTAAGAGATATGGGAAGTATGGGCTCTACATCACCATAAATGCTGACACCCACTAACCCTACTTCCCCATAACACTAGGAAAACATAACACTAGCCCCACCTAACCCTGGATGCCCCCAAACTCTAAAAAGACAGTGTGAGTTCAATATTGGATACAGTATACCCAACCAGCTTCTTAAAATGCAGGTTTGTAGTATTGCTTTGAAGCACAGTGACATTTATAAGTTTGGATTTTTCAAGTTAAGATTTTTAAAGTAAATCTCATGAATATGTTACCTTAGCATTTTATTGGAGTGAATTGAAATACAAATAGTAAAATCTAGGTAGAAAGTGTTGATTTGTAAAAATTCCCTAGATGAGCTATAGTCACAGATTGGTTATTTAGTCTTTATTTAGTTTCCAATTCACTGTAATTCAGTAAACAAACCCTTTATTTAGCCATGTGCTACTTGCTCCTACCATTCTCATGACCCTTCCCTGCTCCATACTCCCAGCATGCGATCTTGTTTTGACACCTTAATCCGAGCTCCTTTTCTCTTTTCTCGAAGAGTTAAATGTTTACGGTGAGAAAGATGGAAGTGAAAGCAAATGTCCCTTTATTTTTGTGACAAATCCTACAGCTGAGAAAGAGGAGACCCATTATTTGACTATTGGATTCAGGTACTAGAGCCACTGTGTGTGGTTTACAGAAGCAGTAGGCCTTTGCAAACAGTAACTATAATTATATCTTGAGATAGCAGACCGACTGCAACTTTG